ATAAATACCACCCTATACCAGAAACCTACTGACCTCTATACTTACCTACCTGCCTCCAGCTTCCATCCAGGACACATCACATGATCCATTGTCTACAGCCATGCCCCAAGATACAACCGCATTTGCTCCAATCTCTCAGGCAGAGACAAAGATCTTTATCAAGCATTTTTAAAACTACAACAACATAATTTTAAGCTAAACAAAAGCAATAAAAGCATTAACATTCCCATTGTAATAATATGATGGGGTTGTTGTATAGCCTTAGTTACATAGCACAATACATCATAATTAGTACATAAAATAGATACCCTATGCGGCGTATGAAAGGCACACTTTTCAATTGGATATATATGTTGGAGCATATGAATTTGACCTTGAAATTCAGAGATTTATTGACCTTTGGTAGGAGTGAAAGCAAATTTGGAATCGGTCGGGTACTAAGGCAGTTCAATGAAAGGGTATTTGGAATCTCAGGGCTGATTGTAGAACTCTATCTGCAGGCCAGTAAATTATACGATTGCCTGCAGCAGTGATGAGATTTAAATGTATGTCTTGCAAAGTGGTGGCTTTGACATACACACAACTATTATTAGCTTGGAAAAAGCAGGTGTCCTGTCAGGGTAGTTTTTTGTCCCATACCCTTCCAACAAACGTTGTCACGAACAGTGACAACTTCCCCTAGCTTCAGTTTTTGTACACACTGAAGCTGTGGGGGTTCTAAAGGCCAAAGTGTCCATTGATTCCCTATTTTTATTTAAATGTCGGGGGTTATTCCAGGAGCACTGACAAATCGGTTAGGCATACCAGGTAGTTTAATTTCCCAAATGTTTTGGTGAATTATTTAATCCCACATGCATTCTTCCCACGGACCCGGCAGGATACGGTACGTGGGTGCTTACATCCCTCCAATCGGTCCGTATGCTTGGAAGGAACACTGCAAATGCCTGCACTTCCACCCAGAAAATCTCCAAGTATGTCTTTACGGCCACAGATCAGAGGATACTCCTGAAGTGTCTGTAAGGGCAGCGGGCCAAGCCTGATGCTCCAGATCACTCTGAATGGCCATGAGTTTCTGAACAAGCCAGATCCCACTGCAATGCCTTCCCAGCCTCAGTGATATTTAGCACCATCGTCGTCAAAAGTTTCTGGGTCATTGAACTAAGGGCGGAGATAATACGTAATTTACCAACTCCAGCCTGTACCTGGGTTAGCTGTGCTCCAGTAAGAAGACCCGGGGCCTTTTCCAATTGTCCTAATTTATTTATGTGGTTGGCCTTTATAAATATTCCAAATTGCAGCTGCGCTATTGGCACCATTTTATAGGTGATTAGTTAAGTCCTTTTTTTTTTTTAAAGAGGAAACCCAGGCCCTTTGCTGTGCTAACCTAATGGCAGCTCCTTTTGAGCGATTAGAATATGTAGAGGTGACTTGAAAACGGGATAAGGGCAGTGTACATTTTATAGTCCCCAGTGTAGCATTAATTACAGTTGATTGATATTTTAGCACATGTTTTTCAGTGAAGTACCATACCACATTTGTTGGCTAAACACTTTTAGATACTTTTGAGAGGCATTAGCATTAATAGCATAGGAAGGAGTATATTGCACTATGTTGCAGGTTCAATATTGGTTACTGGGATTATTTTAGGACAGGTAACATTTCCGGCGGCAGAACAGACTTTCTGGGTATACGTTTGATTATATACTAATTGGGTGACTAAGTAACAATAAAAGCAGCAAAGAGTCCTGTGGCACCTTATAGACTAAAAGACGTATTGGAGCATGAGCTTTCGTGGGTGAATACCCACTTCGTCGGATGCATGGGGTGGGTATCACCCACGGAAGCTCCTGCCCCAATACGTCTGTTAGTCTATAAGGTGCCACAGGACTCTTTGCTGCTTTTACAGATCCAGACTAACACGGCTACCCCTCTGATAAGTAACAATAAGAGTCTTTTTCATTTAACATACTACAAATTTCCGGAACGGCCATTATATTTACCTCGCTATAGAACCCATTCATTTTAATTTTAGATTTTTGGGGCTTACTTGTAATGATATTCTATATTTTGATTGTTATTGACCCATTTGTTTTTTACTTAATTGTTTGCTTATATGACTTATTTTGAATTTTAAAGAAGAATTTTTTTCAGCAGAATTTTAGTAAAGCACTAAAATGTGAAGGCCTTGGCCAGTGTATTTCATTAGAATATATGGTATTATTTGTATTTGGGTATATTACAGGGGTGGTAGTGGTGGTGGGGGAGATGGTAGAGGTAGCGTTTGTGACAGCAAAGTGCTTTTGGTATTCATCATTTGAAAGCCAATTGGGGGAGGGATAGCTCAGTGGTTTGAGCATTGGCCTGCTAAACCCAGGGTTGTGAGTTCAGTCCTTGAGGGGGCCACTTAGGGATCTGGGGCAAAATCAGTATTTGGTCCTGCTAGTGAAGGCAGGGGGCTGGACTTGATGATCTTTCAAGGTCCCTTCCAGTTCTAGGAGATAGGATATCTCCATTAATTTAATACATGCTGAAGGTACTTGTCCAAAAGCACAGCACGCATTACTTGGAATAAACCCCCAAATCCAATGAATACCACATTTCTAAGACTCGTCCCCACAATTTCCTTCTTGCTAGTATACAACACTTCGTTTTTGCCACCAGTGCCAGTTTTTAATGTTCTTTGTGGTCAGAAATCCCTGGACTTTGGCGGTTTCAGAGGAGCGAGTGTTCCTACTTTTTTCTTGGAAGAGTCGTGGTTTAGCATTTTGCAGGGGAGAGGTTACTAGCACATCACCCTGTAACGCTTTAGATTTTTTAGCAAAATCCAAATGCATGGTAGTTCTGTCAGTGGACAAGGGAGCGGTTACTAGCACTTCACCTTGTCCTTTTTTTCTGCTGTCCAAAAGAAACAGCAGCACCAGAAGGAGAAACAGGCTGATCATCAGTCGGAAAGTCCTCTTGAGGTGAAGAGGCCTTTTTGCAGTGAGAAGCCTGGGTCCAGGCAGTCAGTCCTTGGCACTTTACAGCAGCGTTGGTAGTCAGCAGGACTTGATAAGGGCCTTTCCGGCGTGGAGCCAGGGCGGTCTTTCGCTGATGGACTTTTACGTAGACCCAGTTTTTTGGTTTCAGCAAGTGGCGAGGTTGTTCAGCTATTATCATTATTATCTATAAAAAAAAGGTATAAAGGCTTGCCCCAATTGTTTATCTTTGGAGCCCTACCTGGAGGAAGGGAGATTCCCTGCCCGGGTGTGTAGTTCCCCTCTTGCAATTGCTTAAGAATAAACTGTCTCTGATTTGTTACAACCACCCTAGAAGTAAAAACTCTGTTTTCTTCCACAATTATTGGTGCCGTGACTCGGATGGTAACGCCCGGCTGAGACAGCAGCAGCTACTGTGGACCGTTCCTCTTCGAACCCCAAGGCGCCAATCAAGAGGTAAGAGCCCTTTTGAAATCTCTAATGGGGTATCGAAGGAGGACTGCCCGTGGAGCCGTCTGTCCCTCTTGGGCTCACGCCATCCGAATTTATTGATTTTGTAACAAAATCAAATGCAGAGCAGTACTGAGGAACTGTTGCCGCCCTCAATAAGATTAGTTTGAAGTGGTAAGGGCCGGCTCTAGCTTTTTTGCCACCCCACAGCCAGCCCTGGAAGTGGTACTGAGGATTTAAGTTTTCCCTGATGTGTAACAAGGCCTGATCTGAGTCAATTACATGCAAGCTGTTAACCCTTTCTTGTCACGTGTCACAGAAGTTTAGATCCTGTGTGGATTCTTCCATGTTTAATGAGGTGTGATTTCTGTGTGAAACTTTTCCCACACTCTAAGCACTTGTGAGGTCTCGCTCCTGTGTGGATATTCCCATGTTGAACAAGGTCTGATCTCCATGTGAAACTTTTCCCACAGTCCACGCACTTATAGAGTCACTCTCCTGTGTGGATTCTCTGATGTTTAACCAGGGTTGATCTCTGTTTGAATGTTTTCCTACAGTCCAAGCACTTGTGGGGTCTCTCTCCTGTATGGACTGCCTGATGTTGAACAAGCTGTGACCTCTGTATGAAACTTTTCCCGCAGTCCAAGCACTTGTGGGGTCTCTCTCCTGTGTGGATTGCCTCATGATAAACAAGGTATGATCTTCGTATGAAACTTTCCCCACAGTCCAAGCACTTGTGGGGTCTGTCTCCTGTGTGGATTGCCTGATGTTGAACGAGCTGTGACCTCTGTATGAAACTTTTCTCACAGTCCAAGCACTTGTAGGGTCTCTTTCCTGTGTGGACTGCCTGATGATAAATAAATTCTGACCTTCGTATGAAACTTTTCCCACAGTCCAAGCACTTGTGGGGTCTCTCTCCTGTGTGGATAGCCTGATGTTGAACAAGGTGTGACCTTCTTATGAAACTTTTCTCACAGTCCAAGCACTTGTAGGGTCTCTCTCCTGTGTGGACTGACTGATGACAAACAAGGTCTGACCTTCGTATGAAACTTTCCCCACAGTCCAAGCACTTGTGGGGTCTCTCTCCTGTGTGGAGTGCCTGATGTTCAACAAGGTTTGACCTTCTTATAAAACTTTTTCCCACAGTCCAAGCACTTGTGGGGTCTCTCTCCTGTGTGGATAGCCCGATGTTTAATAAGGTATGATCTTTTCATGAAACATTTCCCACAGTCCAAGCACTTGTGGGGTTTCTCTCCTGTGTGGATTGACTGATGTTGAACAAGGTTTGACTTTCTTATAAAACTTTTCCCACAGTCCAAGCACTTGTGGGGTCTCTCTCCTGTGTGGACTGCCTGATGTTTAACAAGGTATGACCTTTTCATGAAACTTTTCCCACAGTCCAAGCACTTGTGGGGTTTCTCTCCTGTGTGGATTGACTGATGTGTAACAAGGTGTGACCTTCTTTTGAAACTTTTCCCACAGTCCAAGCACTTGTGGGGTTTCTCTCCTGTGTGGATTGACTGATGTTGAACAAGGTGTGACCTTCTTATGAAACTTT